ATCTTCTGAACCAATAGGAATTTTCAAATTATTATAATTTCATATCTTATCGCATTATGAGTGCTAACTTCAGGAATGACTATATTTAATACGAGGGGCGCAAGAAAGGCTCACAAAATCGAACATCAATTTTCTCAAATGGAACACCCTGTATTCCACTGCATTTTCATATTCTCCTTGAAGAGCTGAGTTCAACGACATAGCACACTTGGGGTCTAGCGGGAATGATTTCCGAGATATAGGGGGTGGAAAATCGAGATTTTTCATTTTTGGGAATTTTTTGTGTCGAAACTATTCATTATTGGTCAAAACGGTTTACATGTCCATATCTTAACTTTTGATTTACTATATACTCGTATTTTAATGAAACAAATACAGGGTGGTGTAGAATTAACAGTTTCAGTCAGAATTCTACACCACCCTGTATTTGTTTCATTCAAATACGACTATATAGTGAATCAAAAGTTAAGATATGGACATGTAAGCCGTTTTGACTAATAATGAATAGTTTCGACACAAAAAATTCCCAAAATTGAAAAATCTCGATTTTCCACACCCTATATCTCGGAAATCATTCCCGCTAGACCCCAAGTCTGCTATGTCGGTGAATTCAGCTCTTCAAGGAGAATATGAAAATGCAATGAAATACAGGGTGTTCCATTTGAAAAAATTGATGTTCGATTTTGTGAGCCTTTCTTGCGCACCTCGTATAAAATATAGTAATTCCTGAAGTTAGCACTCATAATGCGATATGATGTGAAATTATAATATTTCGAAAATTCCCATTGGTTCAGGAGATATTCAAATGTCCCACTGGTCTAGGGACACCCTGTATAATGTCCCTTCAAGACAACCATGAAATGTCCCTGATGGTACATTCCTTCGAATATCTCTGCACAAACGCCCTTAATATTGTCAGAATCGTATAACAATCTAAATGTCCCTTAGGGATATCCTTCGCATGTCCCTTAGGGATATCCGTCGGATGTCTCTAATGGTACATGAACTGTACTCTTCCATTGTCATAGAAATAACGTCCTATGGACATCTCAGTCTTCAATATGTTGTCCCTGCGAGGACGTTAACTTACACCTCGCCGACGAATGATTGCTCGCAGGCTATAAGTACTCCTTGTCAATATCCTTCACGTAAGTTCATTGGACATCCTTGGGACACTTTTTGGGGACCTTCTACGGACCATCATCTCAACTGGATGCTCTAATCAGTTATGCAAGATCTGGTCCTAGAGGGAGCCAGGAAAAATCAAATTCAAGAATAATTCGTACGTCCCTGGGACATCCTATGGACATCCAATTGATATCCCTTAGCGTTGCTGATGGGTTGTCCTATGGATGTCCTAAGGATGTCCTCTGTAGTGCTTGATGAGGAATACGCCTGTAGGATTTAGGTATTCGATAGTTGTCCCAGGGACATCCATCAAGGACGTCCCTGGTTGGTCCTCAAGTGGGACATTTGTGCGTCCCACAGACGTCCAATGAACGTCCACGGTACCAAATTCGAACGTCCTATGGACGTCCTGAATGTCCCGACAGGACGTCTTAAGGATATCCATGGGACATAAGTGTGTTATTAGGGATACGAAGATATTCGCGCTTTCGAAGTTCAATGATATAAAAATATAAATTACCAATATATTCATTATTGAAGGGAAAATTGAAATGTAATGAAGAAGTATACTTACTTGTATAAACTCTGATCTTGACAAGCTTGAAACTTCCAAAAATCATTCGTATCAGTGATATGGAAATGTTATATCTCTCACCAACAGGTCATATCCCTATAACAACACAGGGATGTCCTAGGTACGTCCCTTTTTTGTCCCGCGGTACAAGGACATGATTGGGGCATCCAGGGGATGTCGCGCAGTGGTTGTCCAGTGGACATCCCGCCCGGTACATCCCTAGGTTATCCTATTCGTGTCCCTGGAATATCTGATATCCATTCACATCAGAGTCATTGAACTTCATCAAAGTATTGAGTTGAATTTTTTTGAAAATGTTTGTTTTTCTTCCGGAAAATAATCGTAATGAAAATAAAGAATTGTTTCAGAACTTCTTAAGAAATTACCATTTTTCGCAAACAGAAATCGTACATGCATAATGCCCCTCATTTTTAAACACCCAAGAATTATATAACAATTATACCCAAATCCTAACAAAGTTGTATTTATTTAGGTTTCTGTAGTTAAGTCCTGTTTATAAATCTGTTTGGTACATAAATCTTTCAGGAGGCTCAATATAGCCAATGGAGTAAGATGCGTGCCTGATAAGCCAAAGGTCCTGGGTTCAATTCGTCGTCCTCGTAGAAAATGAAGGACGTCTCTGGGACGTCCCTGGGACGAACTCGTATTGTTAGGGTATTACTTACACTAGTGTGAATAATCAAAGAATGAACTCATTTCGGGTATCAAACCCTCCTCGCAGTAACCTGAAGATAAAAATTGTGATGTATTTCATGAGGAATGGTTCAAGAAATAACTGGACTTTCGAAGACATTTTGAAACTATATATATTACTTGTTCTTGTTTTCTTATAAACTGAATAATCCTGACATATACTTTCACCAAGCTTTTATTAGCTTGGTTCATGTGTTTATGTTTGTATAAGCGTTATCTCAAAACTCAATATCATCCTTTGGAGAGTTGATAGTCCAGCTCATGACTAACTCTCCTGAAAAGGGGCTCCTGAAGATGATATTTCTTGAGTAATTTCGAAACCCCATGTGATAAAAAGATGCAATTTGGTACAAGAACGACTATAAGTATACGTTCCATGCCCAATGCAGTGAAAATGAAATCATTTCAAAATTTCACTCAGGAGTGTATAATACATGGTGGGAGTACAATATTGCTCAAAATTTTTTGTATGAATATTTCTCGACAATTTAATCTCGGATTATGAAAATCCATATCATATCACAAAAAAAAGGTGATCTTGTTCCGCATCGATCAGATGTATCTTTCTCGAGTGAAATCGATTTAAAAATATTGTAGTTCCAGCTCACTAGATTTTGTCTCCATATTTAGCAGACAATGGAATTAACGATTCTCGAATGTGTTCTCTGTGCCAATGTGGTGTGATTTTTTTGTTATTGTTATTATGGAGGTTATGTCAATGTTATGTTGAAATAATAATGGCAGTGGAAAAAAAGTTATTGTGCTTCATCTCAAAAGGAAACATTCAACTTTGATGAAAGAAAAATAGAATAAGCCACTTTTATCTGGCAAAATACATATGCAAAAGACCCATGTCTCTGTACCACAAATGGTTCCAGCACTCACTAGCAGTGCAATAAGGACTCTCACTAATTCCTTACCTAAATGTTTTTATATTTTTTATGTCCGATAAAAATCTGAACGCATTCTTATATATGTTCTCTCGTGGCCGTTGATGATTTTCTTGATTCTCCAAATATTCAATTTTTATTAACGAAGCTGCCATTCTCAAAAAAACAAGCGAAGAAATCAGTCAAATAATATCCTATCTCGCACCAAGGATCTCGCACCTTTCTCGCATTCGACATCAAAATATCGACTGCTTAAATAAGACCACTCTACAATTTGTCTATCAAAAAATTTTCGAATGCGTCATTCGAGAATGAGCACTCACGTTTTTTGTTCCACAATGTAGAAATCTCGCATGCGACAAAATATCTCACCATTTAAGAATAGGGTCACACAGGTCGAATACCTAAACCTGATCCCTGATCTAGCACTAAGTCCCTAGTGGTCCGAATTGTCCACGGGGTAAAAGAGGCCTTTAATCAAGACAAAAATACAGTTACATATGGTCATGATGGATGTCGAGAAAGCTTTCGACACTGTCTGGCACGAGGGACTAATGTCCAAGATGTCGAAGGCTATAGAGGGGGTGCCCATTTATATCATTGAAATTGTGGACTCGTATCTGGAAAATCGTGAAATTAAAGTGAAGGTGAATGATACTGTTTCTGGGGATTTTCCACTTGAAGCTGGTGTTCCACAAGAGTCGTGTCTGTCTCCTCTCCTGTACTCATCAATCTACATGAATGACTGTGTTCGTGACATTTTAATGCAAACAAAACACAAGCATGCCTTTTCTCTAGAAAGGCCCATCTCACTGTGCCCAACATATAAGCTTTTCAGGAGTAACCATACCGTCTGAAGACATCTATTTCGATTCTTGGTATTACTGTATCTCAAAAACGAAGCAACTTTGGACATATGTTTATAGGAACTTTTCTTCCTAAAATGACCTAACGAATCACCACCTCTGCAGTTAGGAACCGTAGTCAGGAAACACCCTGTATAAAGGCGATTGATGATCTCGAACATAAACCCGCTCGCTTAGCTCGCACGTTATAATATCTCGATCATTAATCGCCGCCTCATTAATACACTAGTTGATAACTATTACTTTGGTGTATAAATAACTATTTCCTTAATGTCACTGTCACAACAATTGAACTTTTGCTTTCAAAACGTCAACAATGAAGGGTAAAATTCAAATAAAATAATCGAAGCTCAACCAAAGTTTGGAAAAAATCATGTTACCATCTCGAATATAAAATATATTTTCTTACACTTGCTAGTTGTTGTACAAATAACTATTGTATGAAACTATTGTATGTCCTTAGATATGAAATAATTAGCATTTTCTTCAAACTTCTGCTAGTATGAATTTGAAAGAACTACTTTCAAATAAGTTTGAATGTGAATGATTCAATGCCAGTCCATAAACTGATTGAAGGCAAAATAATCAACCTAATAAACTCATGAGTAAATTGCTAACCTCCTTACCATCATAACATGATTTCAAACCTGACAATCAGTGCATCACTCCTTGAATTCTTTGATAGATGTATGTATGCATAACGCAACAACTGCTTATGAACAACCAATATACTGGGTGAGTCGGGAGGAAGGCACCAAATCATTTTCAACTTTGTATTCTTCTCATGGAAACTCCTCTTGAATGAAGGAAAAATAGAAACACACCATATATGCACAGTATAAATTTGGTATAATATCGAAACATCAACAAGCAGTCAGGCGGGCCCACAATTCTCGCTATATCATACATCCAGAATGAAATATAATCAGAATAAAATGACAAACAAACCTATACATGTAAATAACCGATCAACTGATGACCGAAAACACAATATTGACAAATCAAATGGAACAGAACCCGAAGTTTCTGAAAACTTTATGAAACAGTCCTGTGCACAAACCGCGAAATTTCAATCAAACGAAATATCTTCAATCGATGTACTGCGCCAACCAACGGAATCCTTCTCCATAACCTTGTCTTTTCAGGATAGAACACATGAAGAGTTCTAGCGGTCGCCCAGGCAAATCTGATCGGGACACCTTACCCTGCAATAAACAAAATCATCAAAATTTTAACCCCTTACGTGGTATCATAGAGTGTTTCAGTACCCCACTAGTGATAATCCTGCGATAATAATCTTAATTTGCTTAGTGATTTGTTGTTTCAGGTATTCTCCTAAGTTCGTTATATCTAGGAAATCCTAGTGATTTTTTTGCAAAATTCAAACAGTTTGGAAAATAAACCGTGATTGGGGTGTGCAAATAAAACCCCTGCCAGTTTTCTCAATATGAAGCGAATCTTTGTTTTCTTACCACGGGCGTCAATAGGCTGAAGTACGAGTCTACAATAGCGACTACTATTCTGTCGTCCTAAGCAAAACCCCCGTAACCAACAAATTCATTGATGGTGTAGCTAGTACTAATCAAACAATAGCATGTGGTGGCCCCCAGGGCACAATATTAGGACCAACATTATTCCTGATTTATGTCAATTCAATTTCAAACTAGCGCCTCCGGGGGAAAATAAAATTGTATGCTGATGATACCATACTACTTTATTCAGGTAGATCTATAGAACAAATAAGTGAGGACATGATGCTTGATCTCCTACTTGTTGAAAAATGGCTTGCAAGTCACAAATTGAGTTTAGATACCGAGAAGTCACGTTTCATGTTTGTCTCTAACAATAAAATCAATTCAACAGAAAACCTCTTATCTTTGGCACTAACCAAATCAAATATGCCTGTGAAATAAAATATCTAGGTCTATACATTGACTCAACACTGTCATGGAGTAATCACATAAATCGTTTGACCAAAATGATTAGTGCCCCAATTGGCATCTTGAAGAGTCTGTCGTGGTATGTTCCAAGATTTTTACTAAGATCAGTGTATTACTCCCTGATACACTGCCACCTTCAATATCTGGTAATGATTTGGTTTCCAGCCTGTAATAAATTGGTGAAACAAGTGAAGACACTCCAAAATAAAGCCATCAAAAATATATACTCACTGCCCTATAGATATAGTACAGTTAATCTTTATAAAAACTTCAATATTTCAAGTTTAGATAATATGTATGAACTCCAAATATCCAATCACATTCATCAACCATCTGTTTTACGACATGTGATAGTTTATATTCATACAATTTATATTCATACAATACACGCGATAGCAAGAAGTTATTCTTACCCAATGCATCTATGGAAACCTATGAAAAATCCATTTGCTTTAAAGGTGTTCAAATATATAATCAACTGCATGTTGAAATAAAAGAATGTAACATCAAATTATTTAATAAAAAACTGAAAAAATACCTCATGAGTAAATGGACGCTTTGAATTGATTGATCTGGCTACATTTGTAATCTTTTCAAGAATTTTTGTAAAAACCTGACAAAATGTACTTTATAATTTCTTTTTTTTTTATATATATTTGACATGTTATTTTTAGAGTAAGGACCTCTTTGAAAATGTAATTTTCCGCGGTTCAATAAAGACTTCTATCTAACCTATTCACGGAAATTCAGATTTTTTGGCGCATTGGTTGCTTGGCAACTAATACTTAATCCTTACTAAGCGAAAACCCGGTATGTATATTGCAAATCAGTAATTTTGGCCATTTCAATTTCCCGTATCTAGCCAAATAAGGCACTCCTTCTAAGCAAAAACCACTTATCTACACAGTACTAAACGAGAACACTGCATCTGCATATGTAGCGCGTGCAGATACGTGGTTCTCGCCTAGCAACATGGTTTCAATTTCTTACAGTATGCGAAATATGTATGTACAATTCTCAGCAAAAACCTACAGACAGTATTTATCGCTGCTGCTTCTTCATATTGAAAAACATATTGTTTTAATTGTTATCCGGTTCAATCGATTTCAGAACGTTTTCGACATACAAAAATACTGATCCTACCCGAAATGATACTCAAATAAAGGACAGCCATCAATTTTCACTGTTTAATGTGTTCACTCTATTTTAGCTTTTTTGTAGATACGAGAGTTGTGCTTAGGGCGGCAGTAATTCACAGAACATTTCAAGTGATTTTAACAGCCTCCAAAGAACATTGTATGTGGGGAAACTCAACTCATGTAAAACACATTCTGTTGATGCAAAAAGATGCCCAAGATATATTTTCAAATCAAAATATAGTTAAAAACCAGTATTTATTAAAATTTTAACGATAACGTGCATACTTATATATTTTTGAATCGATAATATTCGTAAAAAATGATTCTGAATTTCTTGAAAACTCCATTCCTAATCATGAATACAACACAAGAAATAAAGAGGAACTGACCTGAGACCTAACTAGGCACAGTTATATACAGAGAAATGCCCCATATCATTTAAAACTAGTATGGAATGTCCTACCTTCAAACATCAGGAATTCGCCCATTAAAAATATGAAAAACAAACCAAAAACCCATCTCATAGAAAAGCCTATTATAATATTCAAGACTTCCTCCTGGATCAACATCATATTTCCTGTACATAAATTAACCTTGTAATCGTACTATTTTAATTTCTGTTTTATTTTAGCCATGTTGTATTGTAGGTTTGTGGATTGTTTCATAGACTATTATTATTTTGTATATGTTGTATGTATCTTTTAATTCTATATTTTTTACGAGCTCAACATCACGTACAGGGTATTTTGATGAGTGAATAAATGCTTTTCTATTCTATTCAATGGATTTTTATTTTTCCCTCCTGTAATACCCAATAATTATTTTTCTGTTGATTCAAATTTGAATCGAATTTCTTGTGGTGCATAGTTCTCTTGATCAGATATTTCCACAAAATTGCAACATTTTTGAGAAAGTCATAAGATTTTTATTGTAGTTATCATCTAATATAAAATGGGGTGCTGAAATATTCCACGATAACAGATACGTTTCGGGAAAACACGATACCAGTTGAGGGTTTGTTACGTTTTCGCAAGAAATTATTCATTTATTAAAATTATTTTGATGGCCTGAGAAAGTGTTTGGGGATGGATAAGAACAATTTTAGAACAATCCTTGCTAATATTCATTGCAAAATTGCAAGAACCCCTAAAATACTACCTATCAAAAGCACATCCCTCCAAAACAGAAACTGATTTTCAAATACCTCTATATCAGTTTTATTTTCGTCTTTAATAGTTTATTGAAGAAAGTATTGGCAGTACATTTTATTTTTTCTGTTTCCCCCTCCTCCAACTCATAATTTTTACACCTTACACGAATGCGTTTGATAATAAAAACAATCAGTTCTTTAAGTTTACACGATTTTCAGAAAAAGTTGAATTCAACGACACCAAAACTCAAGCCCGTATTTTCTCTAGAAAGGCGGAACTCAGTATGCCCGACATTGTAATGTCTGGCACCACCATCCCCACCATGCCCACCATATCTATGCTCGGTATTTCCATCAGCAACACTCTTTCATGGGATAATCATGTCAGATCCATGGCAAAAGCTGCTTCACAAAAACTCGGATTCTTGTTCTATGCGAAAAGCTACTTTACACCTCAACAGCTTCTCATGATCTACAAAGCGCAGATACGGCTTGTTCTAGAATACTGATCTCACATATGGGGTTCAGCACCAAAACATACGCTGATGCTTTTAGATTCCATCCAGAGAAGAGCCATTCGCCTGGTGGGTGACGCCACACTCACTCACACTTTGACATCATTGGAACACCGTAGAAAGGTCGGCGACCTTTCACTTTTCTATCGATACTTCCACGGGAAATGTTCTTCGGAAATCTCTGCTATCATCCCTTCACTAGCAATACCAGTCAGACGAACTAGACAAACCCAGTCTGCACATCCTTTCGTTGTCAACCTCGAAAGATGTCGAACAGCACTTTATCAAAACTCCTTCATCTATAGAACGGCTAGGCTCTGGAATTCATTGCCTGAGGAAATATTCCCAACAGCATATAATCTCCAGAAGTTCAAAAAAATTCCAATACCTACCTCTTGTCCCTATCCTCTCTAGGAACGCACGATGTTCTTTGAACATTATAGGGATTTCCTTTCGTGCGCTCCAAGCGATAAAAAAAGTTTTATCGGGTTTTGAAACTAGACGACTCTTTTGATAATCAGGGCGTGAATGGGTTGAGCTGGAATATTTCATGTCGCTCACCTTTCCGGTTGTCTGTCCGTACAGAGCATAGAAGTTCCTGAGTTCGTCCTCGGATGCGGCGCCCGGCAAGTCGATCTTGTTGCCCAAGATTAACACCGGACAGTTGGACAACGTCTCGTCGGTGAGCAGCGAGTCCAGCTCCTGTTTGCTCTCCACCATCCGAGATCTGTCGTTGGCGTCGACCAAGAACACGATGGCGTCCACCGCCGGGAAGTAGTCTTTCCACACTCTCCTCGCTGGAAACGGTAGATTCTTAGATAGTGTGGGGTTTCTTGGATTGAGTGGACTGTATTTATATTATATTCGTTTCTTATGAGACTTTTACATACAGGAATACGAGGAGTAATTATTTAACATGTACTCTTTCTTTATTGATTATTAATACCTTGTTTTTTTCATATCCATGACATCGAAACACAGCTATCTTAAAGAAATCAAACATAAAATTGAACAGATAGATATAGGGTGTATCATGATTCATTTATTTATTCACTAAGTTTACAAAATAACTACGAGATAACTCGTAGATTGCGTTCTTTTCTAGGACGCCGATCAAGAGTTTTCTGGTACTGTGTTTATTTTTGCCATAAAAACATTATTTATGAATATAATTATAAGCAATTTATTCAAATTCAAGTATATTTTCATTGTTTGTGAAACTTTCCAATATACAGTGTCCCTAAAAGGTCTTTACAAAAACTTATTACATATTCCTCGGATCAAAATAATTCAATACAAGCATACTTGCAGAACAACAGAACAGAACAAAATTACAATTTTCAAATCGTCTCTGACGGCTCAGGAGATTTTACTCAAATTTGGTATGTTGGTATAACTTTTTTGGGTAATAAAACCCATCATGATTATGATGAATATCATGCCATGAGTGTTGATCTTGATTTTTTAAGTAAATGAACATCTGTAACTTCTACGCTAATGGAAAGAATGAAGTTTGAACATAAAATTTAGGTTGCGTAAATCGTTTACTACAAAAAGGTACCCCTGAAAAAAATTCGATTACTCTCATGGTTTCGACAAAATTCGGATTTTATTCAAAGCATCAGTCCGCACCAAAACGAATAACAGATATTTCATTAAAATTATTCACCATTTCCATTTTTTCCACGTATATAAACAAAATACGTATGAATACGACGAAATGAATTGGAATGTGCTATCTTTGTTGTTTCTTTTTTATTCGGAGTAAGCCAGAGCCGTCTAAGACCCCTGCCCACACATCTGTGACATCTCTAAGATGTCGCGTTTAGGTAACATTGCGATATCACAAACGTTTCATCGCTGCGATGTACAGAAGCAAACATATCAGCGACATGACATCTCTGAGATGTCCCGATGAGGCAAGTCCGCTATATCACGGATGTTCCATCGCTGTGATGTACAGAAGGGAACACATCTGCGACATGACATCTCTGAGATGTCGCAATGAAGCAACGCTGAGATATCACGAATGTTGCATCATTGCGATGTACAGAAGCCAACTTATCTGCGAGAATTTTTCGAAAGTAGTTGTTTTCTGTTGAATAAACCGAGAAAGAATTGATATTTTCATCACATAGAGAATGCGAATTCTCAATGTATTTCTTGATATATATATCCATTTCACATGTTCATAATTTTACATGAGAATATTCATTTTAAATACTTTCACCCAATCAAGGGGTTCAAACTTGAATGATGGAAACTTGTTATTTTTATAGACCTTTAATCGCAGATTCGTGATTAGGCTTTCTCAATTCAGAATATCTTTCCACGTCCTGTATGATGAATATCAATTTTTCATACATCCAGAAACAAATTCTACAATATGGTTTGGTGTACCATGATCCTGTTACACCCAGTATATTGCCAGTTACAAAACCAGAAAGATCTAATTGATAATGTGCCATGGTCAATAGAATTCCCATATATCCTTTGTATTGGAGTTTTTACAAACATTTGTGCGTGGGGTTGGCAAGTAAAAGGTTTGATATGTTCGGGAAGCAGTTCTTGGAACGTGAAACTGAAGTTCAATCGTCAAATAATGGTAGTCAAGTTATAAATTGATTTCAAAAAAATACCATCAGAATGATACTCTCTTCGAGTTTTCAAACTATTGAATGAGTGTCTGTCAAGTAAAGTTTTATGTGGAATGCCATAATATGTGGGACACACTCCAAAATAGGGTTTCTCAAATAAAATGAAAAAAGTTTCCATAAACATATATGTCGTTGAAGGCTTCGTTGACAAGATGCTGCAGCTGAGTTTGCTGCTCAACAAAGATTCTTAATATTCTGGTGAATCACTGAGAGTGATTGAATCGGTAGCATTATACAGACGATATGACTCCAAGTGGCATGGTTAAGGGGTATTGATGTGTAGAAAAAACATGGGTGGCGATGAATCATTTCGAAATTACATTCGAAAATATAAAAGATGATGCAATGTTGTAGAAAAAACCACCAACTGTTGGAATTCGTTAAGGTACACTGTTTCAGAGAAAAACCCAAATTCAACTCCAAAATTCGATATAGCTGTCGGATAGTCCATTCAAGCCATCTGTTCAGATTATTCTATAACCATGATCGATACTATTTTCTTGGAATTGCGGCACTATGCCAGTCACATAACATGCTAAATTTTGCCACCACGATAAGCCATACAGGGTGGACATAAGAACATTCTACAAATATTTGCAACTTTAACGCCCTGTATCTCGCAAGCGATGCCTTTCATGACCTTTGTTTATGGGAAGATTCTCATTTTCTTGAGACGCCCAAATACCTCTCGAAGTATGTCCCACATATTATGAATCACCCTGTGTACGAGGGATGTTTCTAAAGTTCTTAGAATAGTGCTATAATTAAATCACGCAGAACTTATAAGCAATGTAATTGGTGCCAGACAAGTCCTGGCACGTTAATGCAACTATCTTGTGCTACTATACTATTGACTATTCAGTTTGATTTAGGTGTTCCAATGATATAGACGCTATATTCATAGCACTGATTTTTTTTATTGATTGTAGCGCACGAAAGGGAATTCCTGTAATGTTCTATGAACTTCGTGCGTACCTAGGGAAGATAGGAAGAGGAGGTAGGTAGGGTATTTTCGTGGTATTGGTAAGTTCGTGATAGAAATATAATAATACGCCAGGATCTTGCCTATTGTCACAGAAACCTAATTTCTCGGCTGATGGGTAGTAGGTCAATCAGCTAGATGGCGGAACCTGCGGCGAATGAATATCACGAACATAAAACCCCCTGGAAAACTTTGTATTCAGACGGTATGTTTTGTGCCACCATTTGGAGGTTATATTGTGATCAAAGTTTTCACGTTCAAATATAAACTGAAACCCAAAGGTAAGCTTTTGAAATTCATACTAATCATAGTATTTTGAATTCCGAATCTGCCTGTCAAGTTGAATCAAATAATTTCGCTGTAATTTTGCCACAATTGCTTAAGTTCGTGAGCAGGTTTCTTATGATTTGCCCGCGCGAATAATGAGTTACGATTCATGCGTTGTTCAATATTTTTTTCATCTCTTGTCCTATACTGTTTAAAATTCACCAAATCTTGGAATATATTGATTTAATCAATAAATATGAAATATAACCCTATGGCAGTGACGTGGAACATATCACGAAATTACCTGTTATCACGAAGGTGGCTACTATTTTTTTCAATTGCAGAATCAGAATGCCTAAAAAACAAGGAGAAAAGAGGAAATATCGAACATACGACATCCGGGAATTGATAGAAGCTGGAAGGTTAGTGACAGAAACAAATATGTCAATATACGCAGTAAGCAAACAGACTGGAGTACCATGGAGTACGATCAAAGATTTTATAGCAAAAAATCAGGATAACCAGCAAGAAGTTGCCAAACTTGGAAGACCATATGCTCTTACCCCAGAATATGAAACGGAACTATATAACTACATAATCAAAATGCAAGAACTGGGATTCGGTTTAACAGTCGAAATGATCAGGAAGGCAGCTTTCCAACTGGCGCGACAATCTGGGAGGGAACATTTTCTCAATGAAAATAATATGACAGCAAGCAAATGGTGGTGGGCGCAGTTCAAAAAAAGGTACAATCTTGCGTTACGTGTTCCAGAAAATCTCGCAGCATATCGAGCCTCTATGGGTAATCCAGAGATGATTCAGGACTTCTTCACAAAATTAGAAACACTCATGGACAAGTTGGGGATAAAGAATATGCCAGATAGACTTTGGAATTGCGATGAAACTGGTCTATCTTATGTCGTGAAACCAAATAAAATCGTTGGAAAGCGTTATATTTATAAAAGAACTTATGCTGATAGGGGGTGTCTCATACACTTTTGGGATGTGTCTGTGCTAATGGATCATGGATTCCTCCAATGATAATTTTCAAAGGAATTCGCTGGAATGACAGTTTGAAATCAGATTGTCTTCCTGGTGCACAAGTGAAACTGTCTCCAAAAGGCTGGATTAACACAGACTTGTTTCTCGAGTGGTTCGAATTTTTCATCGCTTCAATACCTTCAACTCGTCCTATCATTCTCCTGATGGATTCCTATGCATCCCACATAAATGCCATAGTAATTTCTCTAGCTAGAGAAAATGAAATTTATTTATTCACATTTCCAGCACACACCTCTCACTTACTACAACCCTTAGACGTTGGTGTTTATAAGTCTCTGAAGTCCTTTTGGTGCAAAAGTTTGAATGAATTCATGAGGGAACATCCAACTGATAAACCCAGCAGGCAGAATTTTCATACCCTACTGAATCCAGCCTACATCGCAAGTTTTTGTAGGTCTAATATTGTGAATGCATTCAGAAAATCGGGCTCGTGTCCATTTGACAAAAATGATGTTCCTACAGAAGCACTTGCGCCATCCATAATCACTGATAAAGCAAATTCAAATGAGCCAGTGATGGAACAAGAACAAAATGTCACAATAGCACAAATTCTGCCCATGCCAACAGTTACCGTTCCATCTGATGTTCCTGCCAGACCAATGAGAAAAAAACGAGATTCGAGTGCAAAATGTCTCAATGATATCACTAACGGTCTCTCATCGTCATCAATGCCTTCTAATGATCAGCCCTCGACGTCAGCTGGAATGCCTTCAACGTCATTTGATAAACCTTCCACATCCAACGTCTCTAAGAAGTCTAGAAATAAAACCTCCAGGCAAGATGATGATGATGACGATGACTGGGAGTGTGTGTTTGTGGAGATAATTATTCAGAAGATTATAGAAGGAAAAATGGAGCTAAATGGGTTCAATGTTCGTATTGTTTGACATCATACCATTTGAAATGGCAAGCATCTGACAATGAAGAAGATGTTTTCATGTGCGACAATTGCGTCGGGTGTGCCAGCGAAGAATCAGATTGACTCTGAAGATTCCACGTTTTTCACATGTTCATGATATTGTTTCTATAATATAGAAATAAAGTATTTGTAACAATGTGCATTATTTTTTGAGATTCGCGAATATACCTACCTATATATCACGAAATTAAATACCCTACCACGAAATTACCTTCCCTTTTTTGTAAAAATAGTACTAGAATCTGTCGACACAACAATATATCAAAGTAGTCTAGCAGAGAAAAAGTATATATATTTCATGCACTCCATTTCGCGAGATAAAATATAAAATTATCACGAAATCACCTTACTTCACCCTATAGGAATTTTTTGAGCTTATTGGAAATACTTCCCCAGGCAATGGAGCTTTGCCATTCCATAGCCAAACGAGTTTTGATAAAGTGCTGTTCGAAAATATTGAAAAAAAGTGTTCCGAGAATACAATAGGAATTTTTTTTTCATAAGATTTGAGATAAAAACAGGTCAAATACTTGACACTAATACAAGGAAGTAATTTCCAACCCCCTTAGGTGTGTCACAAAAAAATAAGGTAGAATTTTTAGTAACTCATCTTTTTGGCGGGGACAATCAACTTTACGATTATTAGCATATTTTATTAGTTTACCTTGTGAATGTCCTCCTAGATCGAATGTTGTGAACCTCATATTGCCAATTGATAACTCTTCTGATGCTGAAAAACGAGAGAATTCATTCAATATTGGAATATAGTCCAATAAATGAAGGAGGAAAAAAAGTCAAAGTTAACGTTAATTACGCACTATTTTCATCTTCCGGTTGGAAGTAGCTTTTGGTACCTCATTAAACATGAGACAAAGTTTGACTGGAAAACGCGTGCGATGGCGGAGAAAATGGCCCCAAAAGACCAGGAAAATATGTTTTCAGCCAATATCTCCTAAAATATGGCAGTTAGAGATTTTCGGTTCAGATAAAAATTGAAGTTCAGTTAATTTTATACAAAAATGGTCCTTATCATTTTTTTCACAACATCAATATTTTCTGCAAAAAAATCGGGTTGAAAAACTGGAAATTTTGAGACTTGTGAAATATGCAAGTTTTGTACAAAATTTGAGCTGGGGGGTGTTGGAAATCAATTATTTTCAATGTTTTGGATTGTGGAAACCAATTGTAGATGGCGCCACCACATTTTACAGATTGAGAAAATCCTCGGTGCCATAAATGAGAAACCCTGTAACCAGACATTTTTGATGGATATTTATATTTCCGAGGGTCTTGTTTTCCTCTCAGATAAGGCCTCAAGATATACTTATCAGGAAAACAGGCTATAAGATTAATTACAGCAGGATGGACCTCACCACTAGCAGAGTCAAAATTGTTGCACTGGAAGCCACCATTTCTACATTTGAGAATGAAGCGTCTCCTGCACTGTTTGTGCATCTGCACAGACGTTTGTTTTTCTGAAAAAATATGATGTTTATCCTTCCTTTCCTTGCTCACATCAATCAAATTTTCTAAGCCCCCAGTTACGGTGACAGCATCCGCAGAAATGGGTTCCCTACAAAGGAAACACACTGCTGTAGCAGAGTTGACCTCCATTTTTCTATAACAAGAAATGCAGACCAAGATTTCACTCAAATTAGTTGCTTGTAAACAAATGTTTTTGAATAAAAACAACATGAACAAATTCTCACCTTTTGCTCCAATTTTACAAAATTTGAATCTTCACTTTCTATATGTTTTGGGTTGGTGATAAAAGTTTATTTTAACGAAAAACGTGAATATTTGTTTATCACTTTTCTTTCTATAATTGGCAATAACATTTATCAAAACAATGACAGAAAACAAACACAGTTATGCCTCCAAGCGTGGCCGCATGGTTTGTAGCAGACGACCCGAGCGACACGTAGAGCACACACGCGGCGAACGACGGAGGAACGAAAGTAATAAATTATAGCGTGTACATTTAGATATACTGGTTTTCTCCCGGGATATCAAAGGTATGACTTATATACATCGATGGAAAGGTGGGAATTCCCCCGTTACACTAGTTAAGGTGTTAAAATGTTAGAAATAAACAGCACGGAGAAAAAAAAACACCGAAAAAAATGTGCGTTTTTTCCTTGACCCCGCTTTTTCTAATTTTATTGAAAAACGGACGACTTCGTCTAAAAAAGTAATTGCACAATCGAAAAGTAGACCTTCTTAGCTTTCAAATGATGTATCATAGAAACCAATCGGATCATGTACAAATTTTTAATTGATGGTTGTTCACAAAATTTCCCCGCGCTCCAAAACCAGCAAAAAATTGGGATTCAATAAACAAAGATTAAATGAAAATTAAAAAGAATTAGGGTATACAAATTTCAGGGATGACAAAGGACCTTATGAGGACCCACAATCAAGAAAATTTTGAGTAAATTAATGCAATTCAAAAAAAAATAGGAACAAATACCTGGCGAGGTCAAAATTGACCGGGAGCAGAAAGTTTGACCCATGTTCCGATATGGCCAAAAGAGTCAAGCGTGACTCGATTCACAGGGTATGATAGCAGCAGAATTCCTCTTCCACATGAACTTTGAATCATGAGAAAATATGCATTTTTAACGAAGTTATTGATCAATTTGTCCCCCCGCCGATGTGTAAATACACGGACTGTGCTCTCCGGCATACAACACAGAAGCTCATTATTCGAGGTGCGCTTCGTGCCGTTTTTCTCGAAACCGGGCAAATTTTCGAGAAAAATGATGAGGACCATTTTTGTAGAAAATTAACTGAACTTCAATTTTTATCTGAACCGAAAATCTCTAACTGTCATATTTTAGGAGATATTGGCTGAAAACCTATTTTCCTGGTCTTTTGGGGCCATTTTCTCCGCCATCGCACGCGTTTTCCAGTCAAACTTTGTCTCATGTTTAATGAGGTACCACAAGCTACTTCCAACCGGAAGATGAAAATAGTGCGTAATTAATGTAAACTTTTTCCCTTTATTTATTGGACTAATATTTTGGGTTTGAGAATGCAAATCGGTGTTTTTTTTTATAATCATGAAAAATCAAAACCATCAGATTTTGAAACAAAAATATGTTTCCGACAGAGAGTACTTACTGGGGTGTAATGTGGGAAGATGCTGTGCCAGTCTGTCATCTTTAAGCATATGCAGTAAAGTAGTTTTTCCAGCATTATCTAGACCTAAGAAAAGTAGCTTGCCAGATTTCTTCCATAATCCTGGTGAAACAAAAACAAGGGTTGAGATATTTCTACAGGGTGAGTCACAATAAATCGACAAACTTCGTAAGTTCCAATCAATGCAGGTACACTACAGTGTGTCCAGTTTTTGATGCTTTTGTGCGGTTTCCATATTAGATCCTTACTTTTTTGTGAAACAAATAAAGCCGCAAACAGAATTTTTACAGTCCTTCATGTTGTTGAGATACTGGGTGAAGTTGAAAATTCTCATTTTTGATCAAGTCCCGTATCTTGGTTACTTTTCAACTTAACAGGAATTATACAGGGTGATTCACATAAGAACCGACATAGAGCAGGGGCATGTGGGGGGTCCCAAAATATGGCAATTTAACGCAACTTACCTCTATACCAAGTTGCTTCCCTAAGGAGTTATAGGCTTTGAAAGTGTAGTTATAAATTTTGAAAGAAATCAATATCTCCGTTATTCTTGAACTTGAAGCAACCAAATTTGGTACAGTTTGTGGATGTATTTAGGGCGTTACTTGACAGTAACTAGAGCTTAATTGAAATTTGTAAAGGGAGTATACCGGGTGGCGCACCATTAATATTCAACCGAATATTGTTAACCCTCGATGGATTTCAAAAATCTTTGCTTTGTTGTGTGGGCAATTCAATTCTAAAACTTTTCTTAGTCCAGTAATTTCTTGAAAAACCTTATCATTTTCATCAAAAACTCGAATAATTGAAAACGCGTGCTCTAGGTGTGTTATTTAAAATCATCGAAAATTCAAAAGTTGGCTATGAAAATAAACGTCAAACTTGACAATGAAGCAAGTAAGTTGTTCATTTGAGTAATTTATCGATAAAAAATGGTTTCTTCTGGTTGTTTTTCAAGTTTTTTGTGTTTATTTTGGTTAGTTGTTAATCCCAGTTCTTCACATTTCAGTATCTGTACTTACTTTACGTATTTTGTAACGTATCTAAATAATAATTTGCCAGCCAATTTCTACTGATCACAATTAATGACCTACTTTCTTGTTTTACGTTTATTTTCATAGCCAACTTTTTAATTTTCGATGATTTTAAATAACACACCTAGAGCGCGCGTTTTCAGTTATGCGAGTTTTTGATGAAAATGATGAGGTGTTTCGAAAAATTACTAGAGAAAGAAAAGTTTTAGAATTGAATTGCCCACACAACAAAGCAAATATTTTTGAAATCCATCTAGGGTTAACAAAATTCTGTTGAATATTAATGGTGAGCCACCCGGTATACCCCTTTACAAATTTCAAATAAGCTCTAGTTACTGTCAAGTAACGCCCTAAATACATCCACAAACTGTACCAAATTTGGTTGCTTTAAATTCAAGAATAACGGAGATATTGATTTTTTTCAAAATTTATAACTTCACTTTCAGAGCCTATAACTCCTTAGGGAAGCAAATTGGTATAGAGGTAAGTTGCGTTAAATTGCCATATTTTGGGACCCCCTACATGCCCCTGCTCTATGTCGGTTCTTATGTGAATCACGCCCTGTATATTTCTATCCAGTTCGGTTCAAATTTCTTATAGCTCGTCACAAATAAAAATAAAAATTCAATCACCCACGTTACATAACAAAAATCTGTTTGTAGGAGGTCAAATACTCAGATACAAGATGGCACATATTAAAAAAAGACATTTAAATAACATGGAAATCACGAAAATACAAATTTAAAAAGTTAAAATTACAAATTTCAATTCAAAATTCAAAATTCAAAATTTTGATATTCGAAAACTAAGAATAGAATCAATATAAAAACAACAAACAAACCAATTTTTGGACAGCTAAGGAAATGTGAGTTGTTTGTGTATGTGAAAATGCTCTCTGAAGTCATCGACAGAGTAGATGCAATATCTCAATAGGTACCTTTTGAATTGTTTCTTTGAAGAATTCACACTGACATCTTGAGATACTGTGGCAAGATATTATGAGAGGAATTATCTAGGGATAATAGGTCTTTTCATTTAGATGACAAATGACAATCGTTGTTTACATCTCGCCTCCAACGACAGTGGCGGCGAAAAATTTTTTAAGGAATTATTCAAATTATTGTTGTTGACATTGACATGCAGAAGAAAAATCAAATTGATATCATGTTGAAGAAAGCAGGAAATAATGGAACAAAATGTACACAAGGTTTCTACAGCAGAATGATTGAGTTATAAATAGTTTTCATCTAGTATTTATTCTCCACTGAGCACCATTGACGACATGAAAAATAAAAATACAACTTTACCAGGAGCCTCTCATTCAACGATACAACTCTGTGGCTTTAAATTTACCGAAATGAAGGAAAAGTCTCACTACCTGATTCAGGTAATATGTGGTAGGTCTAATCTACATGATTTATTTTTTTAAATGTAACTACACTCTCAATCTGGAGGCTTATTTTCCATGCTGTTACTGTAAAGTGGTAGCGAAGCTAATGACTATTATTGAAGTATGTAGAAAAGGTTCAGTTTAGGAGGAACATTCTGATCTTGGTGTGCATGAAATTATTTGGAGGCTTCTTGATGCTGTTACTGTAAGTGGAATGGAAGATATAATGACTATTGAAGTATGTGGAAAAGGTTCATCAGTTTAGGAGGAAAATTTTGATATTATGGTGTGCATGAGAGTTTTAATATCAGGCATTGATGTTATACAAAGGGATTAGTTCAGTAATAATTTTCATTATATTTTGAATAAGTACTTATTACATAAGATTTTGCTCAATTTTGTATACTTCCATACCAAAATTCTGAACATTTCTGCTTGGACTCATTGATAAGTTATGCTGAGAGAGGGCATTAGTTTCTAGAGGCAAGCAGTATAAGCTTACTATTTCAATTACCACCTATCTAGTAGTATATTGAAAATATTTAATTTTTGTTCTGTACTCATTAACTATATCATATATAGTCACAGATTAACAATAAGGTTTGTTAATCTGTGACATAGTCATCTATGAAAATATACAATAGGTACTTTGGATTATCAAAGAATAGTCCTCTGGGACAGAAATTGTTCAAAGCTTTCTTTAATATGAATAATCAACACATTATTTTGTATCTGGACGAAAGGCCACATTTGATTATTCACAAGCAAAATAAAAATCAAGACCATTCTGAGTTATTTAATTATTATAAATTCAAATTAGTGAATAATATCAAGGAATACATAAAGAATGTCAGATCATTTTCTGATATCAAAATGATAATACTCCTGTTCAAAATTAAGGCACCACTCACATTTCTTTGAGTTTTAAATTTTTCTACCATAGCATTTAATTTTGCTCAAGTTCTCAATATTTGAATAAGGATAACTCATCCTCAATGCAATACTCTCTGATTACCCTTATTTATATATTATTATCCTAATAATTTACT